AGAGAAGTGGGTCAAGGAAAAGTCATGTTTGAGGTAATGCACCCAAGGGGCCAGCCTCTGATCATTATATGACATTATTTAACCCAGAGATGAGGTCATCTCAAAGCAGACACAGAACCTCTCAATCCCTACTAAGCCTAAATATCAAGAATCAAACAAGGCATGTTTTATTGACAATGCTGAGGTTCAGTATCTAATGACTTCAAACACCTACATTAAGTGCATTACAAAACTTTTTTCCCTGTCCCTTATATTTTGTATTAAGCTGTTAACCTACCAAAGTTCCTCACACATTGTTTAAACTTTTTTCCCCCAAGATTATGTCCGGATAGTTTCGCGGAGGCATGCTGCGGTTTATAATCACCCTGTTCTGTTTTAAGAGCTCATTCGTTAAACTGATTGTAAAACGCACTGTTCCTTATTTAAGTATCAGTCATAATTTATGCTGAAAGCGATGTGGTCGTCTTTCTGTTTTTTAAAAGGAAAATCTTAATGAAGAACAGGCTTTTTATGATTCTTTGGTCATTGTGATTTACTGAAACTGTACAATGGAGTTTTGAGGTGCAGAATTCAGTAAAATTGATATTACAAAAAGCAGGGTTGTTCAAAATTGTGAAAGTACTTAATGTTACTATGAAAAAAGCCTACAGTTACACATGGTCATTTTGTAACTTCTAAAATAGTGTATCAAGATTGTACTTAAGTGTACTTCATGTGTACTGTATCTACATACCTTATACACATGAAGTACACTTAAGTACAATCTTGATGCACTTTAAGCTTATCCCTGTGTAATATTATGTAATTGCAAAGGAAGCTACCGCATGCGTTTATGCGTTTGTGAACGAGGGAGTTAGGCCTAATTCAGATTAGAAGAAGCTACTGCATGTATTTAAGGTGTAAACTAGAGGGTTAATTCAGATGGATAAGTGCATTTCATGTGCATCTACATACCTTAAGTACAACCTTGATTTAGAAGGTACAAAATGACCATGTGTAACTGCAGGCTTTTTACCTTATTAACATATATAAGTACTTATTACATCTGTAATGCGTAACCAACTCGCATGTGTAACAGTATAGCTGCCTAATACATGAGTGTAATTACAATCTGTTTGTACAGGCTGTTCCATAACTTATTTACATGTTAATTACATTTTGTTACATATTACAATGTCTACCAAGTAATTACACTGCATCATGGACACCATAAAATAAAATAAAAGTGTTACCATTCTTTTAATGAGGGAAGATGGATCCTGTAATTGACCACGCACCTCAGGAAATATTATTTTTTTATGAGTTGGATTTAAGTGCATTCATATTATAGAGGATTTTCCAACAAAATAATTAGATCATGTGTATCAGATCATATTCTGTATGTGAATTTGTCACACATATATTCTCCACAAAGTTGTTAGCCGATAACTTGGTAAGTTAAATGTTAATGTAAATTTAATAAATGTTGCATCCTGTTTACCACCTTGAATTTGAAATATGTATTTGGAAATAAAGCGTTATTCTGAATTGGATTGCTTTTCTTAATTTAACTGAATGATGCCGAGCTGACTGAAGCCCATGACACTGATGATCCATGTCTTTTCCAGTAAGAGACCAGCTACGTCTGCTCCTGTTACATGCATTAGCGTTTTGAGAACATGAGTGCACATTTTCCCTCCTTCCAATAACTTCTAACAGCTTACAATCATATGCCTCAACAATAGAAGGCCTGCCTTAATACCAGAAACTTTTGAGAATTATAAACATTAATTCAGAGCTTGACAAGAAGCTGTCAGTCAGCTGGGCAAATGCTCCAACATGCTGAGAAAAGGCCTTTTCTCGTTTTAAGAGACTTCAAAGACCTTGGCAGCTGTAGCCAACTCTGATCTGTTTATATAACTGAATCCATAAAGGGTTTGGGCTTGTGTTGCAAACAGATCTGAGGTGTTCAACACTGTTCCATGGGCCTCAGGCTCTTTTGTTTGGACAATCTTTCACACAAAATGTTCCTCAACTCCGGAGAGCATGAGCGATCTTGCTTTGCCTACCTAAAATTGACAAAGGTGCCTATTCTTAGAGGCAATAGTTTGCGGGGCATTCCAGGTTTCTGCTTGTCGAGCGCAAATTTGGTGTACTTTGGTGCTTTTCTTTTCTTTTTTTTTTTTTTGGGGGGGGGGGGGGGCATTCACAAAGTTTGTCTGTATAAAAGTGATTTGTGTATTGTCTTTCACGTCTCCTCCCCAGAGTGCATTTAATCACAACATGAGAATGAGACATCAAAGCAGCCCCTGTCATGTTTACAGAGAGAAATTATATCAGTTGTCGTCTTTCTTCTACTCTAAATTTTTCCTCCTGCCTATTATAAACAAGTCACACAGAGTCTTAGTCAAACATTGAATTTTGATGATCTAAACAGATTCTTTTTATCTCTCTCACTGTTCTGCTCCTTCCTTCAGTAATGGATGTCAGAGTGATCAGATTTCTATCTCTTGTGGTTGCTGGCACACCTCAGGGGTTAAAGCTGTTCCCCAGAACTTTTCCAAAACCCCATTGGTTCTGTCATTACTCTTCCGGTGATTCCTGAAACATCATTCAGCATTAACTGCTGCTTGTGATGGGACCCGTCATCCAGACTGTGGAGGGATAAATAAGTAATTTGCCAATACGTACGTACAGTATGTTACATTACAGCAAACATTTTAGTATATCTTCTCAATGGACAATAATATAGAAATGAAACTTTTATTTTAGAGTAGTCAAATTGCTGCTTGCATAGCAGTATATATTTAATGTACTCTGAAAATAAGTCAACATACAACCATTATTGTCCAAAAAAAGATGAGTACACCCAAAGTGACTTTCATTTACTCTCATTTCCAAACCTGTATACCTTTTTATTTCTTCTGACGATTTTGTGATGAGTATTTTTGTTTATACAGTGAAAGTCAACGTGTCCCCAGTGAGCGAACGAGATAATTATCCCTTGCTTGAAAGGAAACAATGGCAGTTGATAGTTTCTCATTCATTATTTATTGATACCTGGAAATACAGCATAGAAAAATGCTGTTTTTGTCTTACTTTTAAAAGGGAATAGTTCTGTTGTTGCTGCTTAATTCTGAAAGTCAGGAAAGAGTATTACAGATCTTGTATCATCACCGTAATGGATCAGGATACCTATTGATACTGGCTTTGCCACACAACTTGATGGAGGTGTGTGTGTATGTTCGAGGATTGGAGTGTGAAAGAAAATCTGTGTGCATTTCCCTTGGGTGGGCTTTGAATGTGACAGGCCTGTAAAACCAGCACTGGTTTTGCATTTCAACAGCTGTCTGTTTGCATCAAACATCTTTTCTGAACGTAGTACGACAACAGGATAATATATTTCAACCCACTTTCAGAATTCAATAACATTTTATCGGACGGGAACCAAGCATCCCTTTCTAAGATTCATTTCTACCTATTTGGAAACAAATATTTTCTGGCTGGTTCTTTATTAGTTCTTTTTGCTTTGATGTAACTGTTGTGAAATGTTGGCAAAAGTGCATCAGCACACGTAGAAATATTAGCTTTAACATCCATTTAAAACTTCGGTACAGACTGGTTGTTACTCTAGCTTAGCCAGTAATTCATACTTCTTTGGACACTGGAATGTGAAAGCTGAATGGTAAGATTATACAAAGTGAAACACTTTGACATGCAACCAATCAAACACTTCAGTGGTTTTCTTATTCTTTTTTGTACATTCTCAATTTTTTTTTTTTGAGTTTGTGTCTGAAGGAAATCATTATAGTTGAACAATTATAGCAAATGACCAGACTTAACAAGTGAGAATATGTAATTGCACAGATGGGCAAGTGGTTTTTAGAACTGATCGTGTGCTTGTTGCATGTTAGTACTTCCAATCGTCCAATCAATGTGTTTAACCTCATTAATATGTAAATAAGCACATTAACTCAGCGTTTACAAATGCAGAGTGTGACATTGAATCCTGACTATTGGATAAATTACGAACCCAGAGTAACAGCGTGAAATGTGGATTAAGAGTTAAGAATCACGTTTCAAGTGAAAGCATGTTGGAAGTTCTACAAGCTCATTTTCATTCCCTAGAGGTAAAAGTTTTTGTTTATTATTATTTGTGCTTTATTAAAGAAGCTATTATAGTTTTTTCCTCTAGGGAGGAACAACTCTGTAAATCTTGTCATAACAGTAGCAAGTTAATCGGTGTGTAATCATTTCTGAGCTTTAAACACCACTAACGTTTTGGCATACCTCTATTGTCCTGCAGATTCAGAATTACTGAGCTCAAAAGTACTTAACTTTTCTTCACCTTGCATTTCTCTAAACTGTTAAACTATCAGAGCTCTAAGAACTACAATTGATTGTTTCTGAACAACTTGGCAGCCGTCACAAGTTTCCACCTCCCAAACAATGTTTTTCAATCCAGCTTTAATTTAATCAGACTGTTACAACTAGGAATGCCATTTTTTCAACTGTCTTGTCACTATAAATAACATTTTATAGCTACTGATTAATCTTTATTGTCTTGATCTATAATTGAAAACTATTATGGTGAAGCAACATCAAAGCGCAATTTGCTTTGATACACAGATGTTCATTAAGCGTATGCTGTGTTAGCAAATAGTAGAACATTATTCTACTGGTTTTATGGTATTGATATTGCATGAGCATTTCCATAGGTTCCCTTTTATCACCCCCTTAATGTGATTATCAGGTTTGCAGTCAATCAATGCTCAATAAAAAAACAGAGTTTGGTTCATCTTGCTTTGTGGGATCAATTATTTAGTATCCACACAGTGCACCGCATAATCCATATTATTTGTGATGCATTAGAAGCTAAATCCAGTTTGATGTTAATTTGGACTGTAGGAATATCACTGGAATAAGAACTATTGACAAATTATTGTGACATTATTTCTCTGCTCTGGTGAGTTATGCAGGTTCAAAAATGTACTAATAAACCTTTCTTTTCTTTTCTGAAGGAGTGCATGAGTCTCGACACGAGAAGGTCCTCAGTGTTACCGGGGATGGAATTATTCAAAGTCCTGAATTCCCCAACACATATCCCCGGAATACAGTTATAGTGTGGCGGCTGGTGGCAGTCACAGAAAGTTCCAGGATCCAGCTGACCTTTGATCCGCGCTTTGGCCTGGAGGACGCCGAAGACGGCATTTGCAAGTAAGAGACCTCACATGGACAATTAGAGAGAGGCTACGTTTACACAAAGCCGGGTATTTAGAGAAACGAATATTTTCCCCCTCTCCGTTTTCAATAATAACATCGTGCACACACCCGCATAAATACGCCGTCGAGCGCCATCATATCTATGCCAAATCTAGGGGCGGCAGTGTAGGGAGAAGGATAAAGCCATGCAAGCCAATCAGAATCCTCAGAATCGACAAGAGAGAACCTGAAACACCTTTTCTCCCAGTTGACACGACAACACATAACCATTTTCAGAAATCTCCACTTTGGCCGGAGTTTTTATAAATAATAATTTTCTGTGATAAAAACAGGTTTTTTTGCGTCAATGAGAGGCCAAACCGCAGGGAAATATCTGCGTTTTCGCTTTGTGTAAAAAGGGCCAAAAACAATATCTTAATGGGGGGAAGTAAATTAAAAAAAAATAACTATAAACTTTGTTAAAAATGAGTAAATCATTGAGTAGACTAGACATTTACAAAAATAAATAATTTATCAATTTCCATATCTTTGAACATAATGACCTATAGTCTAGAGCAATATTGTCTATTAATGAAGGTGGGTGTTCAATTGGAAAAAAAAATAAAAGTTTATCATTATGACTCTTAAGGATTCAGCACTTACATTTAATTTTACATTTCAAAATATTTTCTGTGGTACCTGACAAATGAAACTTATTTATTTATTTTAATTCTTCAGGGCTGTGACAATCCTAGTACAAGCCAAAGCTGGCAATTGATTTAAACAGGGTGGTATCAATATAGTATCAAGGCTAGACCGAAACTCTAGGGAGGAGGTGATTTAGAAGATTTGAGAGCTTGAAAAATTCCCTGAGTGTTTCCTTTCATGCGACAGATCAGCGCTACTAAACAAGCAGCATCAGGCATCCATTGCACTCTCTTGACAGGGTCAGATGGAAGATAAAGCACCCATATACAATGAAGCAGTATAAGTGTATGTGGGGTGCGAGGGGGGATTACAGTGGAGATGTATGTGCTTGTTGTGACCACGTCCATTTGTTAAGATTTAGAGTCGAAAGGAGGCCATTTGGGAGATTGGCTGTGCTGCAAGAAGCCTGATGAATAATGAAAAGCCCACCCCTAAAGTGATTATGTTCTGTTCTATATTTATTTTCTCCATGACTGATATGGTGACATAAAGAACAGCCCTTTCTGCTTTGTGCATATTTAGTTCCAAGTCTCCTATGTAACTCCATAGCATCTGTTTGAGATTCTGGTGGCGCATGCTAAACCAGACGTACACTCAAACACAGCACAGCTAGCCAATCCACATTAAAGACCCTTTCAATTATAGGCTAGCTTTCCTTCCTTCCTTCCAGGCCTCTGTCCATGCCTCTGTTTTGCTTTATGGCGCAATCGATTGTAGACGTGCACATCTGTGCATTTTTACTTCCCAGAATCTTGATGATGACCTTCCCATAGCTGGTGGTTTCATGTGGAAAAAATGTTTATAGGCCTCTGCCAGTTATTGATAAAACATAACAATAATGTGTTTTTTTTATAGCATATTCTGTCTTGATATCCTCTTGACTTGTGGACACAACCTGTGAACGGTTCCTTGTTGTCTACAAGCCTCATATGAAGTTATTTGTGACTGTGCTCTTGTATTTTTGAGTAAATCAGTATGTTTAATTATTGTTAATAATCAAATATATAATGTATTTTCATACATGCTCATCAGAAAACTGTCTCGGGTTACGAATGTAAGCTTGTTTCCCTGAGAAGGGGAACGAGACAGTGCGTCCTAGGACGCTGGGGCACTAAAGTATAGTAAAGAAATAGCCATACCTTTCTCAAATTCCTCGGCAAGCACCATCTGGGAGCCCCGTGATCTCAGTCTCCTATTCATGTTATTTGCAGCAGGTCCTGATCCATGGGGGACAGATGATTATCCCAATTCCCTTGAAAAAAGGGACAATGATAGTAGAGTTTCTTCATAGTGAAACTCTCGCAATACTGTCATGCAGTCCCCTTGAGGACAGTGCGATGCTCCTCACCGATCATATCATGCACACATTGTGTGTATCATAAGCTATCAGATAGAGCTGACACATATGTACGAAGTTCCTGAAAGCTTTAGCTGCCATTACGGCCTTAGACACATCACAAACAAACAGCTCTTGAAGACAAGAAAAAAATGGGGACATTCCCCATTAGCGTCCTAAGACAGTGCGAGTTCCCATTCAAAAGGGAACTCTGGAGTCTTGCCAGCAGTGTGTATATCCGAGTGTTTTGTTAACGGACCCCTTTTTTCCTTTTTTAAAAGTGTCATAAGATCAATAAGACTTAAAATCAGGTCATCTTCAATAGATCAATAATATTTTAGTCTTATACCTTAAATAATTTCAACAAACTGCCATTCGCAACCCATTTTACTTTCCTAATGTGACATTTTTTTGTTCTATTCAATGTGAAGGAATGTGCTTTATCCATCGGGAATTGGTTGGATGGTAAAACGTCAGTGTAAAATTGTGTATGATCAAATGCTACTCTTGGATTAAGTGAGATGTCAGCAGGAAAGCAACGTTATTTTATATGGATTAAGTAGGCTTGCAATAAGACCAGGAATGTGTATGACGTAAACTGTATCCATAGATTTTTTTTTTTTTTTTCATATTGACTTCACATTATAAATATGATTTATTCCCTGCTCATAGACATATCCTACCGAATCCGATATGTGAACATAACAGAAGAACCCTTTCCTAGTCGCCCACATTGATGCTATGAATTTGTGCCTGCTTGTCCTTTGTTTAAATCAGTAGCTGTGGCCTTGAGAATGGTGTAGGGTTGGAGTTGGATTTTTGACTTGACCTGGAAAGAGTTTGTGTGTGTGTTTGTCATCTGTGTTCATCCATATGTTTTACATACCGACCTACCAGACATGTAGTGACCTGGTCTGTATGATTGCACCAGCAATAAATTATTTAAGGCATTACTGAACACACATGCACTCGTTCACAACTTTCACATACATAATCACCAAAGGCACTATCCCACACCCCCACTACCCTGACCCCCACACCCACACACACACACACACACACATGTTCACCATGCAATGTCATTGCAGTCCTCCTTTTCTGCTGTTCAATATATGGTTGCTACAAATACTTTAAAGGCATTAATACACATTGGTATGATGATCTAATGCCAGTTAATGAATAAAAAAGCCTCTTCTGTTTGGATCGAATCAAAGCAACTGGGCTGGAATAAACTGTAATAAAGCTGCATGCTGAATCCTATCACGTTGCCTCCAGCAAAGCCCAGCCCAGAGCCGACAGGCCACTACAGACAGCTCTCATCATTCTGTGTGTTTGTTCAGACCGATAAGAAAACTGGGCCAGATTTTCTGTACTGCTTAGGAAATTTTACAATGTTGGTTCTGTCTTTCATGAAAAGCTGAAGTGTGTTGAAAGGACACATAAAAAAGTTTGCCAATGCAACAATTAGGAATTTGAATTGTGATCAACAGTACCCTTTTTAATGTAAAGGAATATTTGTCATTGAGGTTTATGTTGAACGATTCCTGTAAGAAACCTGACAATTTTTTTGCACAAATTTTCATCCTTTGATAATAATCAGAAATGTTTCTTGAGCATCAAATCAGCATATTAGAATGATTTCTGGAGGATCATGCGACACTGAAGACAGGAGTAATAATACTGAAAATTCAGCTTTGCCTTTAACAGGATCAAGTTAATTGTAATACTCAATAAAACAGAAAATGTATAAAAGTTATTTTTCACTGTAAAATTTAGCAGTATTACTGTTTGTACTGTATAGTTGATCAAATAAATGCAGCCTAAGAGCATAAGACTTTCAAAACAGCCTTACCGACCCCAAATTTTTGAACATATTGTATCTTTAATGATATCTTTCACAATAATCTATAACGCAAATTCCTTAAAGGTGCCATGTGTCAAAAAAAATCAAATCATACTCCATATTCCATACCAGATGGGGGCAGTATACCTCCAGAAAGCGAGTTGTGCCGCGGCTCACGTCTTCAAACAACATGAGCGAGCGCTGTTGTCTTGCTCTCTCTCCCTCGCGCATTTGACACGATAGTAAAAGGTAGGAAGACCGCAGTTTCACGTGGAGCATTTGGAGATTTTTAGAGATTAGAGACTCAATTAACAGCATCTCAACACTAAATTATAAAGGCCGTCTCATAGACGCCTGTCTCAAGTTTTACGGTATTTGTTTTGTTCACATTACATTTTTATTGTTAGTTTGAATTAATTTGACAGACAGCTTTCACTGATGTTGACCTAGCTAGCGCCATTCAGAGCTGCCAACTCTCACGAATTCACCGTGAGATACGCAATTGACACTTAACAAGCTCTTAAGCCACACATCAATTTTGTCACGCACAGAAAAGGACACGGAGACCGACAGACCAGACAGAGCAGGTTAGGTATGATGTATGAAAAAATCTCAGCTTTCAGATTCTGTCAATTTTATTACGCAATTCAAACAATAAATACCGTTTTGGTGCTTGTAAATGTTACATGACAGATAGAGTGCATGTGAACCGATCATCTCTAATAGTAAAAGAACACGAACACTGTTGAAAAATACAGTATGCTACAACTTACCAAAATGTATTCCTCGTGCATAATATCGACCAATCATTTTTTGAACTCTTCCCTGAACTGAAATGTAGTGAAATGTGGGCTGCACTTTCCACACAATTGGCATCAGTACATCTATGACACCCACAAGCCATGCGAGTTATTCGTGTATTGCAGTTTGGCTGGTGGTTATGTTGCCCGCCCGCATACCACCTCCCATGGCCGAAACTGGTATTATGACACCTGCCGGGCCGGGGCTAGTAATTTAGCATGCTATTTCAGGTTATATTCTCTGCAGCACAATAACTTGTCATTTTTTTAATTACATCATTAACCTTATTTCTTTTCATTCTTTTGATGCGTGTAGCTCTTTTTTTTTATTTATTTTTTTTTTTTGTGGATATTTTAACCACAATTCTTACACATGGCACCTTTAATGCGATTACTTACTCAACATCGTTTTTCCTTAATTTATTAACCGAAATCTCATTGTGCCTTGTTTTTAAGCATTCAGTTTCAACATTCCAGTGTTAAAATGACTTGATACACCCAGTGTTTGTTTTCTGATGTCATGCCAGCCATATTTTCTAAAAGATACCTGCTGCTCTTTCATGCTTCTGTCCTACATGAGCTTCTGTGGAGTAAATGTATGCATGTAAACCTGGTAATAGTGAATCGCATTACATTATTGATGAGCCATCTGCCTAAATTGTCATTGGGAATGAGACAAACCCCTCTGCTTTATGATCTTTTGAGGTAGAAAAGAATCATGGGCATAGAAAAATGTTGATAGTATGTTATATTCAGAAGTTAATGCTTGATGTATGGACACTTGTTCGTTGGATTTATTGTATTATATGTTTAAGTATCCGATTATAAGTATCAAGAAAATTATTTGTCAGAAATTCAGGTGTTCGACTGTGTTTTTATTGAATGTGGTTTGAATCATTAGTGTCAGGCTGGGGTGAGATGAAACAATGACTCCAGAAAGCCAAACAGTTGTGGTGGGACATGGAGAATTGGTAAAGTATTTCTGTCCAATCAAATTATTACTACCAGGCTTTGGCTGCGGCAAGCCGGTGACTGAAACCAGCCTTTATTGAACACTGCTGGAGCATTGAGGTCATGCAGGCAGGGATAATACAAACTCAACGCTGCTGTTTCTTCTTTCCTTTTATTAAAAAAAAAATGCTCAGGCCACTGTATTCAGGCCAAGTTGCATCAAAAGACTGTAATTTAGAGCCCAATAGAGGGCCATGAGAGACATTAGGGGTGAAATCACTTAAGTTACACTGCTTTGGAATTTGCACAATCCAACCAGGTGTGTGAGTATAAGTTATAGAGAGAGGTAGAATGTACGCAATGCAGAATTTTTTTTTTTTTTCACTATACAAACTTGCATGAGCCTGTCTGTGAATATGTAGCCTGGTGTCCAATTTGTAATTTTGCCTTCTGTAATTTGTAGTCGTATTGAGAAAACAACAATTTTGCGAACATCTTTGCATCGTTATCATAATTCCATTAGTGAACAAAGTGCTAAAACAGTTTAAATTAATGATGCAATTATTTCAGCAGGTGCTCTTCTTTCTTAGACAGTTTCCCCATGTGTCAATATGAATTTGCTGTGTGGGTACTTTTGTATAGAGGTACAGTATATAACAAAGTTACCAGTCAAATCTGTACTGTTTTAGGAGTATTTTTTTCTTCTTTTTTATCATATGATTAGGTGTGATTTCCCCCAAAGTAGATGCAAAACAATCATTCAGTTGCTTTGTTCCGATTTTTGGATAGCCAAGTAATCCCAGAATCCAATGTTTTTAGACATCATAAAAACAGATAGATTTAACTCTCATGTTCTCTGTGGACTGCAGTGCCATCTGGGTGATTGAGATAATACATTTAGCCATGCTTCGGTTTATAGCTTATTCAGTTCATTGAATACTTGTGAGAATAGATTTCTAGGTCACAGCTATTGTAGTTTATGAAAAGCCTAATCCGTTAGCATATTAGCTTGAGATCAAATACAGATAAATATAATTTATGAGCTTACATGTCCGTAGTCCTCATTTAATCTTATTCACTCTTCACTTTCTCCCAAGCTTATTAGCACAATTTTTTTCACTCAGTATCCTGTTTCTGTTTTTCCCCTTTACTTTTCCCATCTTTCCTTGTTACCTTTGTTTAAATGCCTGTGTAATAGTGTCTGTAAATGGCTTAATTGGCATAGTTCCCTGTGTAGGCCTTCAAAGCATTAGATCTACATTTTAGATGCATCATAGTCGTTAGCCTTCCCTTACACTCGATGATAATGTACAATGATGAATTAACTATATAGTTGTGACCAAAGCAGTGTCAACCTCAAATCATCTCTTGCTAGCTGTTTCCCTGCGTTCAGGCATGTTACAGAAGCTGCCTGGTGGCCAACAGGATTGACATGGTGCTGGATTTATTGCAGTGGCAATGAGGCACAGTTAGCTTCAGTGTGCATCATCACATGCTCTTGACAGGACTGACGTCACACCAGGCATGTGTTCGAAAACTTTTTGCCAAAAACTTTGTCTCACTGCCTTATCAGGCAATGACTTTGTAGGCAACTTTAGTGCACAAAGGTACCTTACGATTTTTGAGGCAGCTTAAAGGGATAGTTCACTCAAAAATCAAAGTTCTGTGAGTAAGTACTTGCCCTCATGTTGGTCCAACCCCGTAAGACTTTCGCTCATCTTTGGAACAAAAATTAAGATATTTTTGATGAAATCTGAGAGCTGTCTCACTCCTCCATAGAAACCTGCCGGACCAAAAAGTTAGTAAAATCGTCAAAAAATAGTCCAGTACAGTGTACAGTGGCTCAACCTTAAGTTTACCAAGTTTACAAATTCATTACTATACAGAAATGTAAAAAATGAATGACAAAAACACAACAAAATTACAAAAACTTTAACTAAAATTAAAATGGAAAAAAAGGTTAAAATAATAAAAACAGTATCTCAAAAAGGATCGTGGTCTCAAATATACTAAAATAACACCGATGGATGTTAACTCCAGGTGTAAACAGGACCTGAATGCTAGTGATTCATTAATCTCTGTAGTAAATCGGTGTGTTTGCCGTTGTAGGTATGACTATGTAGAGGTGGAGGAGCCTGTTGGAGGGATAGTGTTGGGTCGTTGGTGTGGCTCACAGATGGTTCCAGGGCCCCAGATATCCAAGGGGAACCAGTTCCTGATCCGCTTCGTCTCTGATGAATACTTTCCCTCAGACCCGGGATTCTGCATCCGTTACACTTTGCTTCAACAGGTAAGAAACTACTCGGTCACCTTGTTCTTCTTTGTGTAATGCTTAAGCAGCATTTATTGAAATGGCCGGCATTGTTAATCCCTAATGGCCCTAATTATCTGTACACCTGATTGACTTAAATACACAGTGTGCAAAGGTAATTAGTTGTTTATGAGAAATACAGTGAGGTTTGTTGGATAGAAGTAAAATAATTGAAGAGAGATGTATACTTGGAAAAAATCTGGGACCAAAACATTAAATAAAAACACATTTGTTTGAATGCATCACCATCCCCTTCCTCTGAAATGACCTGGCAACCTTAAATGGCAGTTACTAAGTAGGAAATTTCAAGTTCTAATCGTATTCCTACCTCAGAGACCTTCTCCTCAATGTTTCACTTTATGTGGTGGTGAAAACCACAGCGGGGCGTGCTACGGTGTTTTCCACCTTGGCCATGGTTCAGTTTCCTCCCTTTAATTTACACCCTGACAGGCGTCACACGGCACATTTGAAAAGGATTATTCCCCTGAAATGATTTAATAGACATGCTTGGCTTTGATGTGTGATGCCTGTCAAAGTTTTATGACTCCACTTTCCCTTGCATTTGTTTACTGAGCCTTCAGAGCATGTCTGAACGCTTTTCTACGTTGCGCTAAAATTTGCTCTCATTGTATTCCAGTGAACAAAGGTGTTCTTTATCTCCTTTTGGTAGATAATGGCTGCATCTATTCTGCTGAAACGTAATTATTATAGTGTTGATAGTGGTAAGATATGGCACCAAAATTAGACAGGACAAATGCGGCTGTGGTTGATTAGAAGGCAAAGAAAAAGCCATATGTCACTTCCATATGCCATTTTCTTCTCAACTCAAAGTGCTTTTTGATTGAAAGTGCTGATGCAGATATGCAAGTCTTTTTCAGAACTGACCTGCTTTTCTGCTGTTTTGAGAGCCGAACGTCCGATGATTGATCTGAATAAGAATAAGAAGAAGAACTGTTTCTTGAGCAGTAAATCAGCCTGGAGTAACCGAAAATATATTTAAAAGTAACTATTATTTTATTGTATTAATATTTCACAACATTAATGTTTTTACTGTATTTCCCAGTTAAATAAATCCACCCGTGGTGAGCATAAGAGATTTAAAAATCTTCCTGATGCTAAACGTTTGAACGGCAGTGTAAATGTAATTCATATCACACATTATTAGTAACTAATTTTAGTTATTTTTTTGCCATGTGACATGAAGGAACAAGATGTATCATGTCAATACGACTTAATGCTTAATCCCCACATTGACTGAGTTGACTGAGACTTTTTAAGAAGTGGGACCGGAGGGTGTGTTTCAACCACAGGGGGATCACACTTCTCAGCCTCCCGGGGAAGGTCTATGCCAGGGTACTGGAGAGGACAATATGGCCGATAGTGGAACCTCGGATTCAGGAGAAACAGTGCGGTTTTCGTCCAGGCCATGGAACACTGGACCAGCTCTATACCCTCTACAGGGTGCTAAAGGGTTCATGGGAGTTTGTCCAACCATTCACATGTGCTTTGTGGATTTGGAGAAGGCATTCGACTGTGTCCCTCGCGGCGGCCTGTGGAGGGTGCTCCAGGAGTATGGGATCCGGGGTCCTTTGCTGAGGGCTGTCCGGTCCCTGTACGACCAAAGTAGGAGCTTGGTTCGCATTGCCGGCAGTAAGTCAGACTTCTTCCCGGTGCATGTTGGACTTCGGCAAGGCTGCCAGATGAAACGGGATATTGACAGACGTATCGGTGCAGCTGCTGCAGTAATGCCCTTTCTCCGCAGGGTGGCTGGGCTATCCCTTAGAGATAGGGTGAGAAGCTCAGTCACTCGGGAGGAGCTCAGAGTAGAGATGCTGAGGTGGCTCCTGGACGCCTTCCCAGGAAGTTGTTCCGGGCAAGTCCCCCTGGGAGGAAACCCCGGGGAAGACCTAGGACATGCTGGTGGGACTATGTCTCCCAGCTGGCCCGGAAATACCTCAGTGTCCTTCCGGCAGAGCTGGAGGAAGTGTCTAGGGAAGTCTGGGAATCTCTGCATAGACTGCTGCCCCGTGATCCGGCCCTGGATAAGCAGAAGATGATGAATGGATGGATGAGTTGTTGCTCTTTTGAAAACTTTATGCATTATTCTTTTTGCATTATTATTTTATGGCCAGCAAAGAGCCCGTTTTCCAGCCTTCTCTGTGGTATAAATGTAATTTAGTTTGTTTCTGGCATCAGTGCTCATGTCCTTTAGTGAATGTGTAATGGTGTGGCTTTAAGGAGATCTCCTGAAAAATGGCATGGTGAAAAAATTGTACTTTTCGTTTTGCTATTTTTTAGGGGGTTCTCCTCCTATATTACATTTTCATTTTTGGCTTTTAGATATAAAATTAGGTATGTTTGTATGTAAAATGTTGTGTAAATGAGTACATTCTCACAGTGGTGTGTTTTTCTTTGAGCAATGCTCTATTATTGCAGAGAAGGTGGTGTGTTATGGCTGGTTTCTGGACACAGAGCTCGCATCAGAGGTGTGGCTGAATCAAGGTCTATTTATAGTGTTTGTGGAGGAGGATGTCAAGCTGGAACCTACAATTCCAACACTGACTCCTTCAGCCCTGACTCACAGTGTGCGCAGTTTTTGTTTTCTTGCTCACCAAACATTTGTATTTAGGAGCCTTGTGGACAGTTGTTGTATATTGAGCATTGTCTTTCTGTGTGCATTAAAGAGTTTGAAATGTTGTGTTCTCATTAAATATCTGAAAGTGTGTGGCAGAAGATCTTCAACAAACCAAAAATAAGTCATATTCACTTTAATGAAACTTTGTTTGGCAGTCCTATAAATATTGCCATTTCAACATGACAATTATGTGAGCACGTGTCTTATGATACATTGTTAAATGACAGGTAATTACAATTTCATGGAACTCCTTTTCTAGCTCCTAAATGCTTAAAAGAGCCTTCAGTTATTTATCTTCAGCGCTGTTAAAGTCAGCTTCTCTCTGGTAGCATGCCTTAAAGGGGTGGTTGATTATGATTGCACTTTTCTAACTTTAGTTAGTGTGTAATGTTCCTGTTTGAGCATAAACAACATCTGCAAAGTCTGTTGAGCAACACTATGCATTGTGGAAGTGTTAATTTGCTTCACCTCACAAATTCAGTGCACTTCTCATAAGACACTTAATGGTGTTGTTATATGGTGTTGGTGTTTATAACTCATTTTTTTTAGTTATTTATTTTGCTGTCCCTTGATGCTTAGCTAGATAATGTTTACTTCAGATATGCTGCTTTAAAGTTCTGCATTTAGTCCCATTTATGACACAATTTAGGGAAATGAGTGGCCTACTGTAGCTGGCTGGCTTTTGGCTTTGTACACCGTGGCAACGGGCTGCCATGTTGGAACAGACGAATTCTGTTTCTCTGTGGTCAACCTCAGCTACTGGAAACTTGGGATCTCGGGGGCAGCTCTGCACTTTTTGTTTAAACAAGCAATAACTCCCCTTCACCACTTCCACAAAGAGAAGCGGGAAAATAAGCCCCAGCTGCGATTTTCAGGTAGAGATTTGGGGAACTGGTAAGGGTTTGAGGTAAGAGGTCATTAAAACAGCACCTAGCTCTGGAAATAAGAAATGTTTTGTGATTCTCACGAGAGTCAGGAACTGGGTTGTTAGTGGCATGTGAAGATAAAAGAAATGCAGGATCACTCTGCTAAAATAACATTACCTTCTAAAGAGTCCTAATGCTAGGAAAGTGCTTTTTTTCAGCTATGTGAATGTCTCGGAGCATTATTAGTTTGTTCGGGACATTTCACTGTGGATTCTTTGATAAATCAGTGGCATTTTGGCACAGGCTTTGCGAACAGTAATGGACCCGACAGGAATGGCACAACATGCAAGTAACCATGTTAAAGGTGCTCTAAGCGATGTCACACGTTTTCTTAGGCCCAAACATTTTTTGGTCACATACAGCAAACATTTCTTCACTATCCGTTAGCTGCCTGTCCCCTAAACAACCTAAAAAAAAATGCTGTCTCTGCAGACAACCCAGGCTCCACAAATGGCAACTAAAACAAACTGTGGCGACCCGCTCCATGAAACATAACAAACTGTTCCAGCCAATAACTGACAAGAATGCCCTGGGGGTGGGGTTTGGGGGGTCAGTGCAGATGAGCCTCCATTTTGTTTGAAAATACTTTAAACATCACCCGACATCGTTTAGAGCACCTTTAAAGAGCACCTATCATGGATTTTTGAAAATGACTGTTCATGTAGTGGAGTATAGCTCTAAGGGAATGAAAACATCCTGCAAAGATTTATATCTGAAATTGCACCGTATATAAAGTTATTGTCTTTCAAAAGTGAGAGTCGACTCTGAGTCTATGAAATGAATTGTTTTTGAAACGAGTCATTAGCTGTTTCGTTGTGACGTAGATACAAAACTTTAGCTCATTGGCCGCTCCCAAAAACTGCGTGTGCAGGCGGGAGTGTAAACTTGAAGTCTAGTCAAGAACACATTCAAAAACTTCAGCTGAATAGCGTCATGTCGAGAAGACGCTGTGTTCTACATTGCAAAGACAGTTCAGCCACTTGTTTTCATTGCCCAGGAACGAGCATGTGAAAAATCAGTGGTTAAAGTTCATATTTTGCAACTATACCACAACAGTATAGCCCAATCCTTGTGTTCTCATCATTTTAATGACGAATCATTCAAAAACATAAATTAATTCAAATGTGGATTCGCAAGCTGGCTGTTCCTGAAGGAGGGCTCAGTATCCAGTGTATATGGATCAGGTTCGTCCTCCTCCGAATCACAATCTGTAAGTATTATTAATAATGTTTGCTGTTATGTTTTTTTCTGTAGCATGCACAATATAGTCATATTGTGTTGTGTGTGTTGTGTACACTCCGCGCAGCTTCTAAGCGGGGTAAAGTTAGTTTGGTTTTTGATATTCACCAGACATTCATTGAAAAATGGCAATTACCTCCTAAACGACTTAGCCAAATATGACTTCACTCTATATAATA